AGAAATATATACCTTAGAATCAACAAGACCTATTAGATAATAGTGACTAATATCTTTGTAGTACTTTATAATTCACAACTTTTTTTAAACATCTATTATCTGATTTGACCTTTACACTGTAGGAGGGAGGTATTATCTTTATCCTCATTATATAAATGAGTAAACAGACTAGAAGTTAAATAATATGTCCAAGTCTATATGCTAGTAAGTGCTAACCCTGACACTAAACCTAGCCTAGGCCTCATAATCCCATGCCCTTCTGACTCTCTTATGATAGGTGAGGGCATGAAGACTGAAAAGTTGATGCCAACTTGAGGATGCCTTACCTTTAGTCTCTAGGGAAGGCCAGAATCTCTCTTAGGTCAACTGCTGCCACCTCCTTATTCAAAACACTTTTAAACTTCTGCCTCACTTTCCCCCTGGAAGCTCCTACTTTATCCTTAGCCCCCCCTCCTCTAATGTCTTTAGAAACACACACCTGCTCCTTCCTTCACTTTCCTGAGAAGGTGTGGGGGAGAAATGGGAACACAGATATTTAAAAGTTTTGCTTAACAGATTATAGGTAGAATGATCATCCCCTTCCTCATTGCTGACTAATTCCTACTCATCCATTGAAAAAACAAACAAACAAAAAACAAAACAGCTCACAAGTCACCTCTTTCATGATTTCTCCAAATTTGATTGAGATCTTGTCTGTGAGCACACAGAGTCCCAACATACCATGATATCATCAGATTGTGTAAACGCCTTCAGGGCAAGTTGCTATTCCAAGTATCTAACAATAGGATTCACTTCATGTCTGTTATATGCTCATTAAACAAATAAATTATTTCATACATTGTCACATCCTTCCCACATGGTGAGAGACCTTTTATTCTTTATCATTCTTCCCAGATACAATCTCCTATCGTTCAGGGCTCAATGCAGGAAACAAAAACCCCTCCAAGAAGTTTAAGGATACAAGGACATAGAGGCTTACAAAGTAAATTGGAAAGTCTGGAGGGGCCCTCTGGGCTGAAATTCCAGAAATGACCTCCAGAACATGTGAAGAGTGCTCTGCCAGGGAAGCTGCTACCTCTGCCACAGTCAGGAGGGTGGGGCAGCTGGAAGTCTCCACTGATGACTGGGCTTAAGAGCAAGTAGCTACAACTCTGATCCAGGGATCTTGAAACTATGATCAGGACATTGCCGTGGCTACGCTCTGATGCAACCACCTCTCAATATTTGCAAAGCTAGAGACATCATTGGATCACTGCTGTAAACATATGTCACATCTCCATGACCTTGCTTGCCAGGAGGAATAGCTAAAGTAGTGTATAATGGTTTTTGTCTCACTTCTGCCTTCTAAATCTCATCCAAGTACATCTGACTGGCTGCAAGGTATTCTGAGAAATATAATCCTTAGCTTTCCAGCCTCTGCAGAATATGTGCTGAATGCTAATTAACCATATCTGCCACTCTGCATGTCTGAAATCTACCCAATGTCTTATCATCTGCAACTGGGTCTCTTCCTCCTTCCCCACCCTCTTGCTCAGTGCCCTGGTGGCTAGTTTAGTCTTTGGTCTTGTTCCCATTAGTCTAATTCTTCAGACTACAGTTTGCCCTTTTCTGTTACCTGGGTGAGGCAAATATCTTACCTATGATTCCACAGTTCTTTAAAAAAAACAAACTGATGTGTGGGACTTCATCAAAATTAAAAACTAATGCTCTTTGAAAGGCATTGTTAAGAGAACTAAAAACAAGACCAACTAGAAGAAAATATTGTAAATCATATATCTGACAAAGGACTTGTATCTAGACATGTAATAACTTTCAAAATCAATAATAAGAAAACAAGCAACCCAAAAACAAATGGGTAAAATAATTGAACAGAGTGTTCACCAATGAAGATAAAAGTATAATAAACACATGAAAAGATATTCAATGTCATTAGTCATTAGGGAATTGCAAATTAAGACCACAGTGAGATACCACTATACACTTACAAAAAAAAAAAGTCTGGTCTGGGTGCTGGTGAGGATGTAGAGAAATGACCTCTCATATACTGTGGGTAGGAGTATAAACCTATAATCACTTTGGAAAAGAGTTTGGCAGTTTCTTTGAAAGGTAAACATATACCTACCATATGACTCAGTCATTCTACTCCTAGATATTTACTCCAAAGAAAAGGAAACATATGGGCACACAAAGACCTATACACTAATCCAGTCATGTGCCTAGTTTTCCATGAAATCTCCTTGTCATTTAGTTCTATTTTTTACTCCAATTGTTAGTATCCTAATGTGCTCAAATGGTGAACCCTTAACCTTTGTCACATTATCAGCTAGAATCAGGAGAGGAAACTGAGTAAGAGTATCTATATATATAAAAGCCTAAGCGACCGGCCAACTGGCTGACCGGCCGACCAGCAGACCAGCCAGTAGCTATGATGTGCAATGACCACCAGGAGGCAGACACTCAATGCATAGGCATGGAAACATGGAACAGACTGATGAATCTCAGAGGAAAGAGGGGAGAGGGAGGGCAGGAAGAGATTAACCAAAGATCTTATATGCATACTAGAGGCCCAGTGCACAGATTTGTGCACCAGACGGGTCCCTTGGCCTGGCCTGCGAAGATCGGGCTGAAACCAGCTCTCCGACATACCCTGAGGGGTCCTGGATTGTGAGAGGGCACAGGCCAGGTCAAGGGACCCCACCGGTGCATGAATCCATGCACCGGGCCTCTAGTTAGTTATATATTTCTGCTTCACATATCACCCCCAAACTTTGAAGCTTGAAATAGCAACAAAACATTATCTTATAGTTTCTAAGAGTTAGGAGTCTTGGAGAGGCTTAGCTGGGTGCTTCTGCTCGGGGGTCTCTTAGGAGGTTGCAATAAAGCTATTGGCTGGGGCTCCAGTCATCTGAAGGCTTGACTGCTTAGAAGATACCTCACTCACATGGCAGTTGGCAGGATGCCCCTGTTCCTTGCTAGTTGTTGGCAAAAGGCCTCAGTTCCTCACCACGAGGGTCTTTCCACGGGGAAGCCATGTTTATCCCCATTTTGGGGGGACTACCACTGGCCTTTATAAAGTTAAGTTTAGATAAGGGCTCCAAGTCATTCCCAAGTTGCGCCCTCCAGCCCCCACCCCTTCTTTTTTCTATGTTTGTCCTAGGCCAGGGGTGGGCAACCTTTTTGTGAGTGCGTGTCAAAACCAGCAAAATCTCTGACTCAAAATTCTTCTGCGTGCCAACCCTAAT